ATAATACACTAGCCTTGTTACCATAGAGGTAGGTGAGAACTTTAAGAGTTCTCTCTAATCTAACTGTAACCTCTTTAAGTAATCCACAGAAGCTCAATAACAGTAAACCATATGCAAAGCTGGAAAACTACAATGTAGAACTCTCATAAAATTGTAAGAAAATTCTGCTTTATGTTTGGTAAAATCTTCTCTAAATCTGTGTAAAAATCTCTTAAAAATCCCAAGTAAAATCTGCCAAAGATCCCCCGAAATCTGCGAAAATTTGCTGAAAAACCTTTCCCAGACCCCAACATCGTCTTTAAATATGACAACAAACTCTCAAGTTTCTTAAACAAGCAACCAGTGATTCGTAACTGTTATATCAGTTGGCCAATGGGCAGTGAAGATCGTGGGCGAGTCCACCCATAACTATTGCCTAATTTACTAACAAGAATAACTGGGATTGTTTATTAAAAACCACTTTGTTATTCTTGCAAGAGAATCAGACAAGAAGGTGCTTTATCTTCACTTGACCCAATTAGCCCATGGGTAAAGTTAAAGCTAGAAACTTGTTTGAACAGGGCTATGTTCCAACTGTGAAACTATAGAAAAACAGCGACATTTTGTAAACTTCACTTTTATACTAAAAGGAGTGAAAAACACAGAGTATAGCCTAGTAGTACACTGTTTTCTATTTGTTGTATTTTCCATTACACCTATTTCTCCTTGAGTAACTGGGCATGACATCCTAAACAGGAGATTTGATAAATGCTATGTTGAAGAGTAAAGGCCTACTTCCTTTTGATCACTGACTGAGCTCATCAACAAAGAAAGAGTCTGTACACAAAAATGCACAATACCACAATCTTTATTAAAGCATAGTCAAAACACATAACGGAACTGGCAAGAGAGATAGTGGGAAAGTCCTTTATCAGTTTGCTTTCATCAGTTTTATTAAAACAAATCTGAATAAAAACAATGCTCCCTTAACAAGTAAAAAGTCTGGTGTTTTATCCAAAAATGAACAAAGCCAGGCTCCTTATGGTAAACACATGACTCTCGTAATTCCAGACGCCTCTTGTTTCAGCATAGTGGTGGGGAAGTACGTGCTATTACTGGACTGGCTAGCAGAAAAAGCAGTTGTCTATCTCAGATCAGATATCAGGTGACGCCATCTTTCCAGCAAGAACAATGCGAGTTATTCTAGCCCTGTGTGCAGTTAGAGAAAGGAATTGAGATTTTACTTGAGTAACATTCTGTTTTTATACTGAACTTAAACAATATAGAAATATCGAAAAATATACCTATGAAACTAAGGTGGTAACAAACATTGTGGTGCCATCCTGTACCACATATTAATCTCTCTTGCTTTCTTTCTTACTATAATAGGGCTAATACTATAATGTCTTAAGACAAGTTTAATTGATTGTAATCATGCTTCAACAGCATAAATAGGCGTTCACATCATAACGATTATTGTTATAACAAATGGTTTATACAAAATTAATTGTGTTCCAACCACTACTGTATGTGTTGTATCACAAATGACTTAATAAACCCTTTGCTGAGTGAAATGGATTTAATGGACATAATGTGGTTTCAACATTATTATTATTATAATCGCTTTTTATTCTTCAAAATCCTCAAGAGCCTGAATAAAGAATGTGATGTAAAAAAATATGTATAATAGTCCTGATAAGTACATTTTTTAGAAATTTCTATTTTATTTAGTTGAGGTTGGACACAGAACATCTTATGATAAGTATGGTTAACTGTACTCCTGCTTGGTCAACTTAGGAAAGGTCATCATGCCATAACAACTGTTGTTGTAACAAGTGACTTATACAAATGTTGTTCTAATGTTGTTGTTTTTTATTTAATTATCTGGTGAAAATAATTCAACGTCTAGTCCACATAAAAATAACAAGTTAGTTTAGTTCTTCCTTTAGTATTTCCACAAGCTTAAACACTGTGGTACCTTGTATGTCACATTTATAGCCACACTTACTGTAGGACTCTGACATAAAAATAAACTTACTTGTACGACTTCATGGTTGATCCATCCACCAACTGAAAACAAAACACTAACTGATTCACCATCGTTGAAACAACTAATATTTTCTTAATTATTCACTCTACTGACTAGAAACAACTCTATCTCTTTGATGCTTCAGTGAACTTTTTATATATAATATACTCCCCGAACTTACCATAAAATCTGATGTCAAAAAATTTAGAACTTTCTAAGCCTACGCTATTGAAATCTTCGATCTTAGTGTCATGTGTCTTTTAGTTGACATATAAATTATAACATAAAAATATAACAATATTGTTTTGATCACTACTGTATTTGTTATGTCCTAATCGGCCTAATAAGCTCTGTATTGAGTAAAACAAATGCATTGGTGGAAATGGGTATGTTGAACACAGTGTGGTGGAAATACCATTATACATTCTTCTTCTTCTTCTTGATAGAACCCTAAGGGACTAAATAAGGAATATTGTGTTAAAAATAGGCCTAATGCGCACGTCTTATGACAACTAGAATTAATCCAACCATGCTTCGCTATCTTAGAATAGGTATTCACACCACGACATAAACCAGTCTGCTCATGCCTCACACATCACTCCCTTGGCTCCAAACCAGTCTTACTCCAGCATATGCCTGGGATATTACCCACTTCGCTTGCAGAAAGGCAGAGGCATCCGAAGGATATATTACAGAGTTGGGCTAAATGATAAAATTATATCAAAGCTATAACTAGGGAAACGCAAAATTGATAATCCAGGAAGTAAGTGCCCCTTGCAGAAGCCCATGCAGAAAGGACAGCTATCTATACAGCACCAAGAATGGAAGAACAGCCATCATTTCAGCAAGAAACACATGTAATTACAAATAGGAATGATTCTAGCTTTGTTAGCAGATAGAGTAAGGAGTTGAGTTGTTTACTTTAGCGACATTTTGCATTCAAACTAAACGCAAAGAGAATAAAAACTTCGAAAAGACATATCAACTAAGGGGTAGCAAACATTGTATTACTGTCTTTATTTTTCTGTCCTGTCTTCTTTCTTCTTGTAAGGCACTTCGTTGTTTGTCCATGAATCTTCAAAATGAATGTTTAAAGATCAAGTTATCTGTTAGACCGCGTTTTGTACAATAAAAGAACTTCCATCTTGCATTTATACTTGCGTGTACATATTTGCGTATGGAGGGCCTTAACTAGTTTCTGAAATCATAACTAATAAGAAATCAAAATATTCTTTAATTTTATCCAAAAAAAATACGTTTTAATTTTAAACAATCTCAAAGCATACTACTTTGCTTCCTTTTCTACCATATGTTTTATGCTTTGTTACATAGTTCACAAATATGGATACTGATATATTTTCTCAGTAAATTTCTATATCGTTTATTTCTTGTTATTTATATAGCTATACAGAGGGCTATCTGTGCTCTGTCCACCGCAGGTATCGAATTCAGATTTTTAACGTTATAACTTTATAACGTTATGCTTACCACATAGCCACCGGGGGCTTACTATATCGAGTTATAGTTTTTTTATTAAGTACAAACGTACACAATGGGCTAGCTATGTTCTGTCAACCATGGGTATTGAAACCCGATTTTTAGCGATATAAGCCCTCAGACTTACAGCTGAGCTACTGGGGATTCGAGATATGGGATTATGCGTACAGTATTCAAATATAGTAGAAGTATAGAGCACTAGAAATCACAGCAGATAGGCTTCTTTGCAGAGAATAAAATTTGGTCATTGTTGTGTTAGACAGCGGAAGTCACGTGACTCTAGTAACACGTCATGATATTCTCGAAGGTTCTTGAATGCTCGAGTGTTTACTAGATGTGCGGTATTCTTGTATATAAGACCGCCAAGAAGTGACGGCAACAATGGAATTGAATTGTAGACAGAGTTAGAGACGGACAATTGAGTCAAGCGCGTGAATCGTTCGTTGTGAATTATAGTGTTTGTTCAAGTTAACTGACTGCGGGAATTAAGTGTATTGAGAAAAAAATAAACTAGTTT